TTAGATGTTCCAGGAGTTGAACACCATAAAATGACTTCATCTGACATTTGGCTTAGTACCTTCCTCGAGTACGGTACAGTACCGCAGTCTCATTTGAGTAGTCGGTTATATGCGAGAGTATGTAACCCATCTAACGCACTAATTGAGTGCTGTACTAGGACGGCGCCGAAGCACCTGCACTGTACTGTACGTACTGCACGCACACGCCAGAGCATATCCTTTTTTTCTTTCATTTGTTACTTCCGGTCCGCCAGTAGAATACCCTGGCAAAATACTATTGTGCTACCCCAAAACCGATAATATGAACATTCTCTGAGACCTTCTCGCCCCCAGATTTCCTAACATAGTCCACCCTGGACAAAAAAAAAGGATTGATTGAAACTCTGAATTTTTCGGCGCATGTACTCTACTCAGGGACCCTCACACAAATCCCAAGAGACAAGTTCTACCATTTCGGGAAGAGAGACCGAATCATAGATCGGGAGCACGAACAAATCCGTATCATCCAACCAACTCCCGTCCAAGGAAATATCTCGGCACAAAATGAACCAAGATATCCCCACCGTTTAGGATATCCACACTCTGGATCGGCGTATCGGGTATTCACTACGGTAAGTTTATAAAGGGGATCCACCGGAAAAGAAAACAAATAAATCAGAAACCCATCCATCCATCTCGGACGATGCGGTAACGAATACCGGTAATGGGTGTGGCATGATAAGATTATCAAAAAAAAAAAACCTCCGAGCGTTAGGGAACACGTGGTAACTCACCAACATCACAAAAGCAAGGAAAATCCGAAATCCGGCCAATTCATTTCCTCCCCCCTTACCTTCCCTACGGCTGATAAAATGGTCCAAGGAGGCAAAAAAAAAAGCTTTGATCGGTGCACGGAAACGGGCTCTGATTGTTGTAAAGCCGGATGGTGGGAGCGATAGGTTCAGATGGTGGACAACTGGCTGGATTATAGTAGCGTTGTGCCCATTGTGTACTGTACAAGTACGTACTAAATCATGTACCCGAGTATCCCACTTGGTCATTGAGATAACTGACGGTAACTAGGGCGGACAGAGGGTGGAAAAGGAAAAAGAGAGGGAGAGAGAATCCACTTACCCTGGAATGATTTCAATCCAACCATATCACCTCTCGCCTTGAGGATATCTTCTCCACCAGAATAACAAAACCGAAATCACAAAATTAACCCGCCACGTAATCGCGTGTATTGTACAGTACCGTAACGCTAAACCCGCATCTCTGGTTCGGGTCCATGACCAATGAAAAGCCGCATATGCACGCCTAGTTACCATGGTACGTTCATAGCTCGATTGGCCGCAAAACACACTGGTGAAACTTACGCTCGGATGATCAGGGGGGTTCTATTGAAGCAAGAGGTGAAACTGGGGGTTTGTTTTGGGCTGTGTTGTCAGGGTGAGTGTCATGGTGGATCACTCGATGGAACGGAGGTCGTTGGTGCGTTTTTGTTTTCCACAAGCAGTTTCGTGAAAATTCCGCGACAGACGACAGAAATCCAGGCAATACCGAGCGGGGGATCACCGGCATGACATGACATGACATGATGCCGTGACACATCTCAGATGGTGAGATTCGCAAAGAAGACCATCGCCCTGCTAAGCTGCAAAAAACTGCCCGACGGGAAGGCAGAAGCTGACAACTGAGCTGCTCGTCGCAAGTGCTTCGGGTGCTGTATCACTTTGGCTAGTGTATATCTACCCCGGATAAATTGAGGAGAGAATACTGGCCCAGACGTGGGAGGGACAAAGATACAGGGCATCGGCCGGTGGGGAAAATACCATGCAGGAAACCGGTGCTTGCTGCGTGCCGTGCGGATACATGAATGTGGCACGCCCGAACTTGTCTCGTATTAGCTGGTCGAGTCGAGCAATCGCGAGAGTTTTGCTAATACCTTTGGACGGATTATGATAAACAGATACTCACCCCGATAGGCTATAATATTAGTTTTATCGCTCCATCCGACTTTAATTTTTCTCCCAATCGGTCTAGATAAATACCCCTAAAGTGTGCCTCTAAGAGGTTTGTTCCCTATCAGATGGCCTGTCACACCTAATTCAATTACCACATCCCCTGTTCTTGAATCCAGAGACTGTTGAGACATTTTTTGCTTGTAGAAGGCTCTAAGGATCTTTAGCGCGCCTAGGCTCGACCGGAGGAACGAAGAACGGTATGTAGCTTAGTACTCCGAGACTAGTTTAATTGTCATCGTAGGCAGTCATCTGACGAAAGACCGTAGGGATTCAATTGGCTTGGTAAGGTGCGCATAAAACACATCAGCGTTCCCGTGCGGGGGAATCGCGCTCCAATTCCAAACCCTCAAAGACACGGGTCGATCGTTGAGTTGTACAAGTGATCCCCCACGAGATTTTATCTCATTCATCCTCCGATCATGAGCGAAGTATAACCCTGATAAAATCGACACACGGTGGTACGACACCGGTGACATAAAGGATGCAGGAGCGCCTTTACCGCACATCTTCCAAACAGCCGGGACGGTTCAAGTAATCCGAATAGCGATTGTGCTGTTGGTCGAGGTCGGATTTCAGGCTTACTAAATAGAATACAACTACCTAAGTAAGTGCTGTAGTGCACTTATCACGTTTAACATCCTTAAGGGAACTGACCCAATAGCTCGCTTTCCTCTGCTTATATGTCATTTAAAGAACGATTCTGGTGGCTCCTAAATCGGATTGCGGAGTACAGTACCGATAATATGTTGCCCCAGGCGGCCCCACCCCCACGGAAACTATCAGCATTGGCAACACTTCAGAGAAGGGCAACCCCGCCAAGCTTTCACCAACCCCCCACTATGAACCCTCCCTTATGGATGGATAACTTGAATAATTGGGTTACCATTTGGCAGGCGGCTACTTACCGGAGGTCCAACCTTGTCATCGTATCTCAAAGCGCTTCTAAAATGGACTGCTATTGCATAACACCAAAATTTTGACCGTTTGCTCGGATCTAGGTGGTACAGTACAGTACGCAATATCAGTTCTTTTTAGAAACGCTTCGACAGCACAGATGAGCCCTATCAAACAGGAAGAGGGGAGGAGAGGAGGCCGATTTTTTTTCGTTTTTTGAGGCTGATCGAACTCATGAGCAGCTTTCTCAATCCTGATCAATTTGGTTTGAACTGCCTTTCCTGTTAGCCTCCTTGTAAAAACTTGAGGATATCTGGCACCATTCGATATCCTCTGCCTCCCACTGCACAGGCATGGTTGACCCCCGGTTAAGGGAGCTATCTCTCACCGACACTCTTCAAGTAATAAAACTAGGAAACATCACGGGATGTTTGAATTGGCAGCCGCAAAGGCTCAATTATTAGGCGGGGTCTAGAGCGTTCTATTCTGCCCTTCACTGCCCTTAATTCATCAGGTCAAAGTTTGAAATTATCATAAACGCTCTTTCCCCCAGGACCCAAAAGCTCTCAAAACTTCTAGATCCGTAAAAGACTAAGTAGTTGTTAAGACTGACCTCTGTTCCGATTTCTATTTTTACCCCGGGGTAAGCCAATACCTAAGATCAGAGTAATGGGATCGTCTACTTGAAAGTGCACAATCCGTAATGGGGGGAATATCAGATTATGTCTAAGCCCTCTGCCCACCATTGCGCCCTTTCTTCCCATTTTCTTGGAAAAAGAAAAAGACTCTAGCCCCGACCCCCCCCCCCCATAGACAGGAAGCAGTTCACTAGTTCAGCAAGCTGACAATTATCCTCTAGAGTGTTAGCACATTAAACTTACTAGCATAGTGTCATAAGGAAAGCCCAATGCCCTCACCGTCAGCAAGGCCCCGCCCCACAACACACGCTACACAACCAGAGAGGTGGCAAGGATTCTACTGCGATGAACTGTAGTTGCGGAAATTCTTTCCACCGTGCGGACTTGAAGCCCTGTCAGCTTCATGGAAAGATAGTGTAGCGTCGTAGAAAGGAAAATAACTGAGTGGCTAGCCCCACTAAAGTGATTACAAAACCTCCCTATGTTCGGCCACCGGTTTTACTCTCTATCGTCCTAATTCCCCGAGTGAGTTTAGGTTACTATGGTCTCTATCCTTACTCTACCTAGTTTTCCGACCGCCCAAAATTCTTCAGCAGAACCTGATAAATACATCAACGCCTTTCTTGGCGGAGGTTTCCGGCGATAGTGAGCCCGATGGAGTGTCATCTCGCAGCGTCGCGAGGTTTGGTATGGGGGAAGTGTATAATCCCCCTGGCCACATGGCTTAAGTGCAAATATTGGATCCCTCATGCCCCCAAAATTGCCCAGGCGAGCGCCTTCCCCCAATAACCCCCCCCCCCCCAAGTGGAGGAGGAGGGACTACTTGCAATTCTCTGACGTTTGTAAAAACAACTGCTATTGCATACCACCAAAATCTCGAGGCTTCGGTAGATCCTTTGCCCATATGCAACAGCAGTCGTTTTCACAAACGTCAGAAAATTGCGAGTACACACTTCCCCTCCACAGTTGCCGGTACAATTTGTCTTGGATGCTTCCGACCCTTTCTTTCAAATTACTCCACTACCACAGCTATAACTCAGTTATAAGTAGGATCACGGTTAGATTTGAATACAGCCGTGGGCGTGCGGCTGGAAAGGGAGATACCTTGCTTGCGCTATTACATTGCTCCGTAATTTAATAGTTCGGTGGCTGGGTGCTTTTCTTTCCGCAATGGAGATTGGTAGTCATGACCAATCACTCGAGCCAGGATTTAACTGCCAAGAGTGACCGTGTGGGTCTGAGCGTCGTTACACCAAGCCTGGTAACGGTCCAGTCGAAGCTCGGCAGCCTGAAAGCCACACCCTTTTTCGGGGCCGGATCAATCGCTGATCGTCGGGATGACGCCACCACCCGGGCCGCGTCAGCTCCCGGAAAAACCCTCTTCATAGCCACACCTCTATCATGCTCTGCCCCAAGAGGGTACAAATGCATAGTATAATCCCGGTGGCATTGATGGCTGTACAGTAGTCCAAGCCGAATCCGGACGGAAGTCGTCGTACTCAAAACCTTCCCAGCCTCACAAGAGAGGTGGGTGGCGAGAGATAATCAAATACTCCAGAGTCCTAATATCTATTGATATCACGAGAGCCAGGGGGAAGCCAACCTCCGGATATCTCGAGCCGAGGTGTATTCAAATAAATGGTGTCCAGTAACAAAGGGCGGTGAAGATCTGAAGCCATGGGGAGGCTGGATAGTTAGTTTACTCATACTCCTGCTTCACCTCATGATTTACGTACCTATGATCTTCCTATTGCCCCCCCCTCAGAAGTATATATATGGTCGAAGAGGGCATTCCTCAACGCCAACATCCACCGCTCTGCACACACACCGATCTCCGCTCTACTAAAAGACCAAGATGCAGTTCACAGCTACCCTCATTGCACTCGCACCGCTCACCATTGTGAGTGCAAGTCCGCTACTCACGCCTCCTCACCGAAATTCCACAGTCACGAGCGCCGACACTTGCGGAAATAAAACATACAACCCAGCCATGGTGAATACCCCCCCTGGGTACTCTATCATTGAAGGATTAACTGACGGCAATTAGTATAAATGCTGGCCCGGCTCGATCCTCTGCCCTACCACGAACGGAACAGAGACCTTGCCATGCGCCACTGGGCGCGGTGTCCAAGGCTTTGACTGCTATCTGCCTTCACAGTACACGTTAGTTCCCCTATCACTGCCCTAAAGTTAGCTTACATAACTAACATTGAGGACTTATAGCTGTGTGAATGCAACCCTTATTTCATTGCCTTCCGTGGCGGATACGAATGGCACAAATTTGACTTCAAAATATTAAATGTTGGCAGGATGTAATATCTTTTTGGATTTGTTGGTGGTAATGCTGAGCTCGTACTGCGCTCCTGTGGCCGGGTTGAAGTTGGGGGCTTAAGGTGGCGATTTCTATACTAAGTAGAATAGTGAGAAACAATCTTTCATTAATATTAATAGATATTTTGTTAAACCCCACGGAGGTATTATTCAGCAGCGAAATTTTGTACTGCACAGTGAAAAGTCACCGGATTTGAAGCCCTTAGCTCTTGGTAGCTGATCAAGGCTGTGTACAGTGCCACCTGTAGCAGTACGAAATTGCCACCCAGAGTCGAGAAAACCCCTTTGCAGGGGACTAGAATCGTTAGGAAACGTAGGGCCAGCTTTCCATGGCTGTTGCCCGCGTAGATACAGCAGTCGCCATGCCCAACCAAAGTAGTAGAGTGGTAAAAGTCGAGCAAATGTGCCGTACCGAGAACCGAAGGAGTGGAGCCAGCCTCGCCGGTCCCGTGCGAGATAGGAGCAAAGATGTTCAGAATTTCTTGAAGTGGAGATTAGTTCTCTTGGAATTGATAGAGATAGTGTGTTGTGGTTGGTCATGGAAGGCACGGGAAGTGTGCTGGAAAGACAAAGTGATTTATGGAAGTTATAGGAGCACATTTCAGCGTTTGGAGGTATGATAGATTTGTCTGAAGGTTGGAAGAGGATTATAGAGATATATCATTCCTTTGTTATCACGGAAGTGGGCAGAGGAGCTTGGACAGGTGTGGAATGACGGAGATGGGTGTAGTGATCCATGGAGTGATCGGGTTGCTTTGATGATGTTTTCCGTATACACTTGTCATTGCCGATTAGTTAGAGAGAGAGAGCACAAGACGAAGCACACACCTTTCCCAACTATCCCACCACAGTAAGTCTCTGTACTATTCCGTCCCTCTACCACTGCGCATTCTGATAGCAACCTCCATCGCAACTGGTTCTACTTCTGCGACTCCAATGCTTGAGAGCAGTGCGGGGACCAATTACACCTATAATAGATAAACCACTCGCAACAGCAAGGTTATTCTCGGTCTACCGGAGCTTTGTCTACTCTGATTCGCAGGGGGGGGACCCAAAATCTCTCTGGGCCAATATCCACCGAGATCCGGAGGTAGTGTTCCCAACACGCCGGGTAGGGTAGGCCGAACCAAAGCCGGACCCAGCTATAGGCTGTATAGGCTTAGTACCTGTCCCCTGACAGGCTGGCCTAGCCGATGAAGCCGGGTCTGAAATATCTTCAGATATTTGGTTTCCGTTCAGCTCATATTTCATTCTACTAAACTGTTCCGAGTTCCTCCCGTGAGAATGGTAAATTGTATAGTGCCTACGCAAATTCCGCGCTTTGGCGTTAACATACTAGGGGGAGTAACTTATCGGTAATATCATTAATTGCCCTAGGCGCTGAACCTAAGTGTGAGTAGTGATATGGATTTGCCCACTGTTAATGAACACCCCCAAGCTGTAACAGGACTAGGTCAACCGTAGCGGGCACAATCACTGGTGGATTCAATCGAATTCCAGCGGAAGAAACTGAATCAGAAGGAAGTATTGTGCGATAGGACTATGTGGAGAACCTGGAGGTGAATTTCCTAGACTTCGCCCCGTTGGTTGGTTGTGAATCGCTCCCTGTGTAGTTACTTCAACCAACAACTGAGGATATAGATGAAAGTTTGATGATAAGCCACAATGAAAGTTGGAAAGAATCAAGCCACCTCGGAAGCAACCAGCTCTAAATCCCGCTTACACGCCTATATGTTCCTACCAGGAATGCCTGTTGTGAATATTTTATCACCAATCTACCCACTAGGTATCTATCGAGAGGAACGGGGTTCGGTTATAATATTTTGGTGTTTCCGGCAGCGCCCGGTCCATCCTTTACAAAGGCTGCCCATGCCTCCAGCTAAAAGTAAGACAAACAATCCTTTCCCCTTGCCTCACACACTTAAACACAAAACCAGAGTTCTCCGTCCTCGATGATTTCACCAAAGCCTAGAGTGGCGCCATGCCATAACAAACGCCAAGAGTTCAGGTTCTTCATTTTATTATAAATACCACGAGGTTCCAACACAGCAAGTCCCAATTGAAGGATTTAACAACCCCCAATACAGCAAGTCACAGGAAGTAACAAAACTTCGGCAATATTGGATATTGTTTTTTTTTTCTGATGATGATTCTTCGGGTACTTGTTTTCACCTACTGTTTCACCTACAGAGCGGCTGCTTCATCCATGTGACTTACTCACACAGAAGAACAAGAGAAGAGAGCTACCGAGCTCCTGGATTCGAATTGGTTTCAGTACCAGCACTCCGGGCTTACTATCGGCTTTATAAAATCTGGAGAGAAAAGGTCCATAAAGGGTTCAAGAGCGGACCCCTAGGTGAAACGCAGGGCGATATGAAGGACCGCAATGGAGAATCTCAGGAGATCTACCCAAAAATTCAGCTCAACATATGGCACTATCACAGTTTTCTACTGGCCGATTGAGAGCATCTCATTCTAGCTGGACGGGTTTGTATAGAGACGGGGGAGGTCAATATCCGAAAACTCAGTTCGAATCCTTTATAGAATGTTCTACGATTTATATTTCGTTATAGGGGGGAAATCCGCACGGCGGGCATTCGAGTTCCCATGCAACTGCTCCGTAATAGCAGATATTCCACTACAAGGAGGCCCATTATAGAGAGCTGCGACCGTATTAGTGGGCGGAGAGGGTTCCTACCAAGGACGCCGACATGATCAGCTATGATACCAACACGCTGTGAGAGCCAGATACCAATCCCTCCTAAGAACTACCTAACCGGGGGAGTAGGTATGATACTATCCACCTTTATCCACCTTTACCCTTCAAGCCTGCCATAACTACGGAGGCATTTACGAACTCGTAGTCATCTATAAAATCATCTCAGCCCCTGTCGATATACACTATAATCCACCTTGTCACCGCCAAGAAAACCACACCTCCGAAGAGACCCAGGAAATACCCCTGGAGAAAAGAAAAAATAAATCAAAAAAGCTTCACATCAAGCGGTATGAAACTATGGCTCGTATTATCATAGCTTAGCTGTGGCCAACCACTGGATGAGCCCATGTGTGAGCTAATTGCTTCACACCTCATCACTCGAAATACTGCCCATTCCCTTCTCCGCCAAGCTCCCGATACCCGAACCTACGATACAAACAATGGATCTGGCTGGCTGTTCCAGAATTACAGAAGCCGCGGAAGTCGCAGGCGAAAAAAATAGCGGGTCGAGGTTGATCGTAGAAGCTTCCCGAGAAAGTCTTAGAAGTATCATAGCAGCAGATAAGAAAGGGACCAAATTTCACTGACCGGTATGGTATAATACCGGTATCATATGACGGGAAATTACGAGACCACACTGGAAACAGTATCACCCACCGCCCCTGCGCAATAATATTTGCACCAAAAGCGAAACGAAAGCGCGGATACGGAATATTAATAACTGTTCACTCCTTTCCGAATCTATTATGCTGCCGGTATAGAGGTGAATTTACGACGTCGTGCCACTCCCCCCACTATCATACCATCAAATATTCTACAGAAAGACATCCATCCAAGCCCCTCGCCAAAAAAAAAAATAACAGACCCAAATATGCAGCCCTAACCACATAAATCACAGGCTCAAGGCAATCTACCCGGTGCACACTACGGTGCGGTATGATCCGAGTACAGCATGGTTCCGACACCCCAGAACCTACCCTCCTCAGTCTCGTGCCGAATCCAGGAGGCTAGCCCTAATACAGCAGTAGACCATACCTAGTTAGAGACTATCCTAGCTAGCCATTCAGCGAAAAGATAATAACTTTTTCCATTCAAATCTCATCCTCCTGCCCCCCACAAGGTACAAACTTTGAAGCCCCCTACGGCACCAACCAGAAGACTAAAAAGAAAATCGCCATGTAAACATGTTCCAATAATCAATTAGAAAACCTCTACAGAAGGAATTTTTAAAATATCCGTCGTAGTCTGGTAGCATGGGGTAGTCTGTCGCTTACCAATCACACCACCCCACTCGCTTACCGGACTTTACTCGAACCAAGGGCTTGGCAACGGGGCTCTTGGCCAGAGTCGAGTTAAGTTACTATCGTGCTAATCCCGTCATATCATACCCGTAGACAAATGTTTAGTACATAGAAGTATGTGGCTAGAATTGTACAAGATTTACCCTGTGTCCCCGGACATATCTCTCGTTCCACAGGCATCATAAGTCCCTGCTTGCGCATGCGCTATGTAGTGTGGATTAGGGCTCCCTCCCGAGATTGCGGATTTACACGCGGACCCCGACAATTCATGAGGAAATGTCCGAATAATCACTGGACTCGATTTCCAAAAAGCCCAGCTGTCGTACTGTCTCTCTGTGTCTTGCGTGATACTGCGCCTGGCCGTTATGCCCCGTCATTCTTTCTGGATTAACAATCAGGATGGATTCTCTCACAGTATCATAGCTACGAAGGAATGGAAACGGTATGGGGGTACGGAATTGGGTCGGGCTGCCGATCATATGAACAGTATCATATCCAATCGCACCCCCCCCGCCTCCCCACACACACGCGTGCAGGGAGACTACATCTTCATCGAGCCCAATTCGCAACGGTAACTACTCGGGGAAGGGCATGAGAAACTAGCAGAAGCCAGCCCCCCCCCCCCTTGAATGATACTATACTCGATCTCCAATTCGATATTGGATGTAAAGGCTCCACTACCTTATCCGATTGCTCTATCAAGCGAGAGACCTGCATGGGTAAGTGTATGCGCCATAGGATGCGAAAAGGAAACCTTCACTCCGACGGTTGCGAACAATATCGCCATCGCTTATACTGGTAGTAGTAAAACTTCACGATAGAGAAGGCCCTGGTCCCGGTGCATCTTAGGTCTTTCATATCTCTGGTAGAGTCAAGATGACCCAAGGCAAACCCACAGCCAGGGTCAAGATCTCAACACCAAGTATGATACCCCCATTTAGCCCACCGGCCCCGGATTTACCACTCTCTGGCCAGAGAGAACCACTCACTCGTCGTCTCTAATGTCCGATCATCTGTGCTTCCCGGGGCAACACGACGGGCGGAATCCGTGGACACGAGTGAAATCCTTTGAAACTTACTCCTTGCGGATTGCCAGCCTTGACAAAGGCCGAAAACCCCAGCTTGCAAATGCAGATTCGTGAGGTTTTGGGTAAATTCCCGGGATCGCCAGAGACAGAGCTCAGGAGGGAGGTAGCCATACCACAAATGAAATCATAGTCAGGTCTATCGCGAGAATCCATATATAAACTCCTAGATCCCCCTCACCAGCAAAATCCTAATCTACCTCTCAGGTTCAGTGACGACTACGACAACGACACTGCCACTAGAATCATAGACGACAGAAGGGGGGAAAAACTCATCTTCTCACTTTCTCAGCCTTTAAGAACCCAGAACTTCATAGTCTATAATATCTCCAAATAATCAACTCCCACCCCTCCCCTTACCCCCCAATCTCGCCGACTCACCTTAACACTCCCCATTCACCGAGACTGTGAATTTCAAGAACTACGACTCTTAAAATTCACTCCCGCAGATATGTCCGGAACTACAGTAATGACCCCCTCCCCATCTAAGACCTAAAGACCCAAAATACTAACCAATTTGCGGGATATAGAAGAAAACCCCCGACGTTGCGATCGTTGGTATTGGATGCCGCTTCGCCGGAGGTGTCCACAGCCCCGAGAAGCTATGGAACTTCATGCTCGACAAGAAGGACGCAATAAGTGACGTTCCCTCCCACAGGTGGGAGCCGTACTACAAGCGTGATCCTCGCAACCCCGAAATCCTGAAGAAAGTCACCTCAAAGGCCTCATTCCTCGACAACCTCGAGAACTTTGATGCCGGCTTCTTCGGTATCTCACCCCGTGAGGCCGAGGTCATGGACCCTCAGCAACGTATCTGTCTTGAAGTTGCCTGGGAGGCATTGGAACATGCCGGTATCTCCCCTAACGATATTGCCGGTAGCGACGCCGCTGTCTTGATGGGCGTCAACTCGGACGACTATAGCCGCCTCATGCTCGAAGATTTGCCCGGAATTGAAGCTTGGATGGGTGTTGGCTCTTCTTTCTGTGGTGTCCCCAACCGTATCTCATACCTCCTCGATCTTCACGGAAACTCTATTGCCTTGGATGCCGCCTGCGCTTCCTCCCTCATCGCCGTCCACCACGCAAAGCAGCTACTAGAGAACTACGAGTCTAAGGTTGCCGTTGTCGGCGGTGTCAACGCCATATGCGGACCCGGTCTTATCCGCGTTCTCGACGTTGCCGGCGCTACAACACCTGAAGGTCGCTGCAGATCTTTCGACGCCGAGGCCAAGGGATACGGCCGTGGTGAAGGTGCCGCTGTTGTCATCATGAAACGTGTCGAGGATGCCATCCGCGATGGTGATCAGATCCTTTCTGTCGTCAAGGGCACAGCCGTCGGACAGGATGGCCGAACCAACGGTATCATGCAGCCGAACCCCCAAGCACAAGCGGAGGTATACAAGAAGGCGCTCGGTGTTGCCGGGTTCGACGCTAGCACAATTGATTTCGTTGAAGCTCACGCCACTTCCACCCGTGTCGGTGATCCTAAGGAGGTTTCCGCTATCACATCCGTCTACGGATCCCCCGCCGGCCGCACTGCCGAAAATCCATGTTACATCGGCTCCGTCAAGCCTAATGTCGGTCATCTTGAAGCTGGCGCTGGTGTTGCCGGTGTCATCAAAGCGACCCTTGCACTTCACTACCGCCAATTACCCCCTCAAGCCAACCTTCAAACCTTGAATCCTGCTATCGATTGGGCCAACAGCGGCCTAGAAGTTGTTCGTGATACCAGGCCCTGGCCTCGCCCAGGCCAGAAGCTTAGGGCGGGTGTCTGTTCATATGGATACGGAGGTAGCATCTCCCATATAGTGTTGGAGGAGGCCCCTCCCAGGGAGACTCTCAAGGAAGAGGAGAACAACGGCCCCGTGGTTCTCACACTCTCTGGCCCAGGAGAGAAGTGGTACAAGGGCCAAGCTGCTAAGCTTGCAGAATGGTTGAAGACTGATGGCGCAAAGATTCCTCTGTCCGCCATTGCCACCACTCTTTCCACCCGCCGCGCTCACCACCACGTCCGTGCTTCGATCGTTGCCGAGAATCACGAGGGCGCCATCGCCAGTCTCGAGAAACTATCACAGGGGATCGACGACCCAACCATCATCAAGGCTCGCACTGTCTCTGGGAACACCAAGAACGACGTCGTCTGGGCCTTCTCCGGCCATGGCGCCCAATACCCATCCATGGGAACCGAACTCCTTAAGACTGAGCCTGAATTCGCGAAGGTCATTGACACTCTTGAGTCCACTTACCAAGAGATTTTAGGCTTCTCTCCAAGGCAGGCGCTTGAGACCGGTAATTTCGAGACCACTGATAAGATTCAGGCCTTGACTTTCGCTATGCACGTTGGCCTTGCCGCGGTCCTCAGATCTCGTGGTATCAAACCTGCTGCCATCATCGGCCATTCGGTTGGTGAGATCGCCGCTGCCGTCACCGCCGGTGCTCTGACTCTCCTTGAGGGTGCTCGTGTTGCTAGCATCAGGGCTAGTCTGTATGGACGACCAGATATCGCCGGTAAGGGGGCTATGATCTTGGTGGATATTCCTTTCGAGGATGTTGAGAAGGATTGTGCGTCCCGCAAGGATATCAACGCCTCCATTCACGCCTCACCGACATCTACTGTTGTCTCTGGAACCCCCGCAGCCATTAAGGAGTACTCAGACTACCTTGCTGCCCAGCAGCAGCAAGTCCGCACCGTCAAGTCCGATGTCGCCTTCCACAGCCCCCTCCTCACTCCCCTCAGCCCAGCTCTCGCTGAACTTCTCGGAGACACTATCTCTCCCAAACAGGCCGATATCAAGTTGTACTCCACATCAGATCTCGATGCCCGCACGGATAAGCTGCGTAACAGTGATTACTGGATCAACAACATGCTCGGTCCTGTCTGGCTCACTTCTGCTGTGAAGGCCGCTGCTGAGGACGGATTCAAGGTATTCTTGGAGGTCTCCTCCCATCCGCTGATATCTCACTCAATCAATGAGACTCTCATGGAGATTGGTGAGGATGAGTCTGCCGTTATCCCCACCATCCGCCGCAACCACCCCGCCTGGGAAGGAATCAACACCGCCTTGGGCCGCCTCCACGCCAACGGCGCGGTCGTTGACTTCAAGAAGTTTGTCGGAAAGTCTTGGGTCCCTAGCCTCCCTCTTACGGTCTGGCAGCACGAGAGATACTGGCATGATGTCTCCGTCGGCACACCGACTGCTCCTGCTACCGAGTGCCATGATGTCAATGCCCACGTCCTCCTTGGAGCCAAGACTCAAGTTTCTGGTGTCAATGAAACCTGCGTCTGGCAAACCGTTCTTGACGATACCTGCAAGCCATTCCCTCTCAGCCATCCTCTTTTCGGGACTGAGATCGTACCCGCTGCCGTCCTCATCAACACCTTCACCCATGCCGCCGAATGTACCTCCATCTATGATATTTCCCTCCGCGTCCCTGTCCCCATTTCCTCCGCTTCTCCCCGTCAAGTCCAGGTCGTCTACCAAGAGAAAAAGGCCCTGAGGATCCGCTCTCGTCTGGTCGCTACGGAGGACAAGAGCGATGAGCTGTCCTGGATGACCCACACCACCGCCAACGTCCCAGCCAACCCCATCGAGCTTGAAGAAGAATACATCCCCATCGACGACATCCACGCCCGCTGCACACTCAAGAGAGATTCCAACTGGGTAATCGATTACCTCGCCGATATCGGTGTCGCTGCCATGGGCTTCCCCTGGACCGTCGAGAACCACGTTGAGGGCGACCGCGAGTTTATCGCTAAAGTTGACGCCCTCCCTGACGGATCAACCAATCTGCCATGGGATCCTACCTCATGGGCTTGTATGTTGGATGCTGCCACCTCCATTGGCTCTGCAATTTTCTACAAATCCCCCATCCTCCGTATGCCTGCACATATCGACAGCGTCACGATCGCCACCCCCCCTCCACCAAGCGCATTGATCTACGTCCGTGAAGACCCCGGCCAAGACTGGACTGCTGATGTTTTTGTCACCGCTCTGGATGGTAAAGTCCTCGCCAAGCTCCGCGGTATGCGCTTCTCCCAGCTCGACGGTACTCCCGGTGTCAGTGGCAGTGTCGAGTCCCTCGCCCATAACCTCCACTGGGTCCCCGCCCAACTCGAGAGCACCTCCGCTCCTCTCAATAATGCCATCTTCATTGCCGACAAAGCTCACTCCCTCCTCGGCCCCTTCAAGAAGACTCTCGCCAAGCGCGGTCTCGGGGTTAAGGTCATTGAGAGTCCTAGCGAACTCGAATCACACTCTGATGTCCTCCACAAGACTGGAACCGTCGTTATCGTCCTCCCTGATGAGCTCGAGGATATTGAGAGACTCCCCCAGACCAACTTTGCCAATACCCTCAAGCTCCTCGAAGCCACCAAGAGTCTCATCACTATCGGCTCTTCTGCCAAGCTCTGGGTCATCACCGAGGAAGCTCAGAACGCAAATAGCGAATACTCTCTTGCCGCTGCATCGATGTTGGGTCTTGCTCGTATCATTGCCTCCGAACAACCTGACGTATGGGGTGGTTTGATTGATATCGACGAGCCTGCCTTCCCCTTCCAGGCCCTCAAGTTCATCCGCAACGCCGATGTGGTGACCGTCCGTGACGGTGTCAGCAAGACTGCCCGTCTCCGTGCCCTCCCCAAGGCTTCACTTATTCCCGGAAGCGACTTGAAGTCTGCCGTCAAGATCCGACCTGACGGAACATACCTCATCACTGGCGGTCTCGGTGCCTTGGGTCTCGAAGTTGCCAGCTGGTTGGCCGAAAAGGGTGCCCGTCGCCTTGTTCTCCTCTCCCGCAAGGGCCTACCCCCGAGATCCACCTGGTCCAGTGTGACCAGCGGCTCCAAAGCCGACATCATTAACAAGGTCAAGACCATCGAAGCTTTGGGAGCCGCCGTCAACACTATTTCGCTGGATATCGGCAAGCCCGGCGCTGATGAGGATCTCAAGAAGGCCCTCGATAACTTGTCTCTTCCTCCCGTCACTGGTGTCGTCCATGCCGCCGGTGCCACGGACGACGCCTTCGTCCACGAAGCCAACGAACAATCCTTCAAGAACGCCCTCACCCCCAAGGTCGACGGTTCATGGGCTCTTCACAATGCCTTCCCCGTCGGAACCCTTGATTTCTTCGTCCTATTCTCTTCCTGCGGCCAACTCTTCGGTCTTCCCGGGCAGTGTGCGTATGCCTCTGGTAACGCCTTCCTCGACGCTCTTGCCAGCTACCGTCGCAATGCCGGCGATAACACCCTCTCACTCCTGTGGACCGCCTGGAACGGTCTTGGTATGTCTGGCACCGCCGCTGCTGATATTATCAACGCCGAGATGGAGTCCAAGGGCTTCGCCGGTATCACCCGTGACGAAGCATTCCGCGCCTGGGAGTACGCCGCCAAGTATGACGTTCCTCAGGTTGTTGTTGTCCGCGCTCTACCTATCGACGAGGACGGTACTCCTGCGGCTCCGATCCTCACCGATATCGCTGTCCGCCGCCCACCACCTGAGGGCGACTCCGAGAGTGAGGGGGAGGATAGCGAAGACGAAGAGGAAACAGCCCCCGCCACTGCCGCTCCATCAAACCCTGCCGACCTCAAGAAGCACTTCGAGGCAGCGATCAAGGCTGACGTCGCATCAGTGCTCCGCCTCTCCTCCCCCGATGATGTGGACACTCACCGTCCTCTCTCCGAGCTCGGAATGGACTCCGTTATGACTGTCGGTCTCCGAAAACAATTCAAGGACACCTTCAAGGTTACCATCCCACCGACCCTCATTTGGGCCCACCCAACCGTCGCACATTTGACCAAATGGTTCGCCGAGAACGCCAAAGCATCCACACCCTCCACCCGCACCACCACCCCCAGCGCGTCCAAGAAATCAAAGTCCCCCAAGAAGTCCGCCCCCAGCAGCTCCGGCAGCGCCCTCCCTTCGAACCCAGCAGACTTGAAGAAGTACCTCGAGCAGACGATCAAGACAGACGTTGCCTCGGTCCTCCGTCTCTCCTCCCCTGATGATGTTGACATCCACCGCCCTCTCTCCGAGCTTGGAATGGACTCGGTCATGACCGTCGGTCTACGTAAGCAATTCAAGGACACCTTCAAGGTCACCATCCCACCAACCCTGATCTGGGCTCATCCAACTGTTGCCCATCTAACCAAATGGTTCGCCGAGAACGCAAAGTCCACCACCTCCTCCTCCGCCGCTCCCTCAACCAAGAAGTCCAAGTCCACCAAGAAATCGAGCACTTCCTCTACCAGCCTCTCCCTCCCCACCAACCCAGCGGAGCTGAAGAAGCACCTGGAGAAGCAAATCAAGGCCAACGTCGCCTCGGTCCTCCGGTTGTCCTCCGCCGACGACGTTGACACGCATAGACCCCTCTCCGAGCTCGGCATGGACTCGGTCATGACCGTCGGCCTGCGCAAGCAGTTCAGGGACACATTCAAGGTCCAGATCCCCCCTACCCTGATCTGGGGTCATCCAACCGTTTCACATCTCTCCAAATGGTTCGCCGAGAACTTGTCTAAATAAACTTCTTCTTTCTCTTCCGGGCGGGATAGTTGTGATTGGGCGGGTGGGTGGGTGGGTGGGTAGGGTAGGGTAAGGTGAACGCGGGATATCAGATGGGGAAAATAGGGAAGCAATGGAAAGAGCGAGGAAGTTGAATGGATAGACTAGAGAAGAAAGGGGGCTCATATATGTCGTAGTCTATGGTTTCCTTTTCCTTTTCCTTCTTCTCTCCATAATTCTTCTTCTCTTTTTCGCCCCTCCTATCTTCCTTGATGGTGTTTGTTGTCGTTGATTTTCCCAGTATGAAGTACGTTTATCTGCGCGTTCATGATGAGGTCTCTTTTGTCGTTTACCGTTTGTCACGTTCCCCGTCCATTGTCCGTCCAAAATGTCATTTCCTTCTTCTATTTTTCTTGTCGATCCATTTTTCCTTTTCTCCCTTTTTGTTCATTTTGTCTTCTCCTTTCCATTCGATAGAAGATATAAAATTGAGTCTTCATTTGTTCCCATCTTTCCAGAGCGTGATTTGGTGATGGCGACGCGTGAGAAAAGAACGAACGAAACAACGATTGCAGCCCTAACCCCTAACTTCCTCGGCTCTCCACACCGATGATCACTAATTGGCCCGTGCGCCTCCCTCACCCTACAATTGATAAGAGAACCCACAGTAGACTATCATAACTTCACTCCTGATTCAAATGTGAACCCTCTCCGTCCGCTCGCCTTCCATACGTTCAAAAAGGGAAATGATGTAGGTACCCGCATCCATCAACTCCCTGTCATTCGTGCGACACGATGCGCGCTACGTGTCCTGCTATATATGGCTCTGTTGGCGCTCCAGCGGGGTCCGCCATTTCAAGACAGAAAGTCTTTCGCGAAAATCAAACTCGATACCCCCCCCGTTCACCGCCATCACCGTTTCCCCAAGCCCTTAACAGATAGACGAAAGCGCCATGCTGACGTTCATAATAGATACCTCTCTAGGGATCCTTGCTACTTGGGCCTTCTACCGGACGGCTATCGTCCTTCTGTTTCCCGAGACTCATTCTGAGATCAATATCCCTGAGCTTCTACGATTGCTAGTCAGAGGCTTGTTAGCAACCCCAGGCCCTAGCGTTCTCCCGCTAGGCCAATTGAGCTACACACTCCTCGAAAATACGCGTAAGACAGGGCGGTTGCGAGGTGGATACTTTGTGCTGCACACAGCGAAGGGACTTTGGTCGGATGAGAAGGGGACAAGCTGTATTCTAGAGATACAGAATAATTGGAGGAAGATAGAGGGAGAGTGGTACGCTTTGGTCAAAGAGCCATTCGTCGGATTCCGTACCACGGAGGACGGTGAACACGTTGTCGCCTTGATAGTCAGGCATCGAAGTGACTGGGATGCCATCCCCAGTACCTCCGATCTCATCCCCGAAGGCTTTCGTGTAGTGCAGGGGTGGCGTGAGATAGGTAGAGAAGAGCTTAAAGAGAAAGGGAATGTTCTATATGGCCAGGAATTATATTGGGGTGCCTTCGATCTGTAACATTTCCCCACAGCCGCAAGAGACAGATTTCAGTGCTAACGGGTTAGTTACAAGCAAGCCCTACACCGACCAGCAGATTCGGTGCCCTCTGACCTGATACAACGAAACTGTGCCCAGGCAGCGCTAAAACTCTCCCTCCGCGACACAGCCATTCAAGATGCCACAGCAGCATTTTCGGCCAATCCGTCGGATCCCAAAAACTCCCTCAAGTTAGCTGAATGTCACTACGCTGCGCGAAATTATGTCGCAGCGGAAACAAATCTTCAGAATCTAGTAGCACTCGATCCCCTAAATGTCAAAGGAAAGCTCCTACTCGAAAAATGCCAGCAAAGGATCGCAGAGGCCAACGGGGAATACGATTGGGTGAAGATCAGAAGGGTGCTGAAGACGAGGCCTAATTCCCATCTCGATGTCGCGGATTATACTGGGCCTGTTGAAGTCAAAGTCGGCAAATTCGGCAGGGGGTTATATACGACAAAAGACGTTAAGGTTGGAGATCTACTACTCGTTAGTAAAGCCCTGCAATTCGTTTACCTCTCCGACGGAGATCTCGAAAACAGCGAAAAGTTGAAGAATATGAAGCTGGATTGCATCCTCGAGGTTGCCGAAAGGTTACACAACGAGAAGAGTCTACAGAACGGATTCTTCGAGCTCTGGAGGGGAAAAGAGAGCGCGGAACCTAGAAATATCGATGACACCTATGCTCTAGACACGTGAGTATTCCTTTCAAACAGTGACCGTGATTACCCTTCAGCTAACCTTGGGGGCAGAGAGATGATCAGAGACATATATGACGTGAATTGCTTCACACCGTCATACCATGACATAAATACTTTCCTAGAAGAGCCGCCATATGGCGAAGGGCTGTGGCTTCTTCCTTCCTTCATGAACCACGCGTGCTGGGCCAACACACGTCGCTCTTTCCTCGGGTATCCTCTTCTCCAGACCACGAAGAGCACTAAAGTATTCAAGCTAATGTGATGCAGCGACGTTATGATCCTCCGCGCAGCAGCCGACATCCCTTCCGGTTCCGAACTCTTTACGCCTTACGTCTCGCTCTATACAGACCTACTATCCCGGCAAACCCACCTACAAGATCGCTACGGCTTCACCTGTACTTGTGCATACTGCACAATTCAAACGGAAGAACCTCTTCAAGTGCGTAAGGATCGAGCCTCGATCCTCGAATCCTACGCTACCCTCCTTCCATCCCTTAATCCTCAATCGCAGCAAGAGGCTTTGAAGGAATGCATTTTAGAGGTCGAAAACACATACACTCTTCCCCCAAGTGACTTTCCACGATTAGAACTCTTAAATGTCTATTGGACGCTAGCCTTAACATACCACCAAGATCAGCCACTAGAGGGGATAGCAGTCAGCATGAATTTGCTATCTGCACTTGGATTCGAATTCGACGATGATGGGAGCACGAGAAGAGTCGGGTACATGGATATTCATGCGATGCCCACAATGTCTCAATTATGTATCTCTTGGGCGGCGTTGGGGAAGATGCAGAGGGCCGAAAAGTGGGGGGAGAATGCGAAGGCCGTTTGCGAGATCATCATGGGCGAGGGGACCCGGTTTGAGGAGATTTATAAAGGCTGGCTAGAAGCGGCACCAAAGGGCTAGTTAGCCGTGTCATAGAACAGCTATGGCCGGACAATGCGACGAGACGAAACGAGGGGAAATCAATCATCATAAATAGTGTGTCCAAACCGAGGATATCAGTATCAATCCAAATCCATGCGCGGTGTATCCCATTCCAGATTACTCAGAAAACACCTGAACCACGTGATGTAACGTAATTTTGATGAAGAAGGCCCATTCCCAAGCCCACTCTACCACTCCCAGCTCTTAAAAACACAGAATAGCCAGAATGAAAGACAAATTGTAGCAAAAGCCCAGCAAGCAGCTAGAACTCGTGGAGGGGGGCATGTAAAAGAGGGGCATAACCAGTTTCTATATACCCGCCCAGAATAAACCATAACGGAAAACCCCTGCTGACGACGACGCACTTATCGTACATCCAAGAGACACCAAATACCGGTACAGTATCCCTAATTGCCACACGCCACGTGAGGTTATCGATACGTAAAGCACCTCCTTCCGTAGAAAACCCCCGAATCGAGTGATTTCTCCTGAGACTCCATTCCACGAGTGTAAGTTACTGTTATTTTCACCGTGTATTCGGGGTGGCCAGCAAAGTACCGTAGTGGTAAGGGCTCTACGGATAGTTCTAATATCGATTCCGAAAAGGGTACTGTATGGAAATGGCTATTTCGGTGGACTCTAGTCCCTCCCACCAAAGAAAAAGAAAAAGGAAAAAATGCAACCACGATCCAGTCACACGAGTCTGTTTCAATGTTTGTGATGTCGTGATGATATTTTGGTACTGTGCTACATCTGCTGCTAGAGTACGGTGGCTTTGAAAGAGCTTTATAGTAGGTCATTGGTGCTGTTCTTGCTAACATTGCGCCTGTGTCTGGCTCATCCTCACTTCTCTAGTTATATTATCGTAGTAGTAGTTTCCCGATAGCTCGGGTTTGGCCGTAGTGCTCCATACCCCCCTCCCCCCCGTTCTTTTACAGCATCTGTGCTGTTTTGTCAGTTGTAAAGACGCTGTCAAATACCGCCAGCCGTACAAGTATTGTGCCCCAGAAAAAATTGGGCACTTGGAAAGGGGCAATGAGATCTACATCCTCCCCCTTTATAATCCTATTCCCCAACACCTGGCCATACCGACTGTCCGCAACGCCCCCCAGGCCAAAGGTAAGAAGGGTAGAAAAACACCTAAGGATGATATCATAACAAGGCTCAAAAGCCGTCATCCTATCCACCCGCCACAAGTAAACCCCGCAAAAGCAAATTCCGGCATGTACAAGCAGTCACGAAGTTCGAATCAAATTCTCAATTGCCAAGGTCCAAGGATGCCCCTCACATAGATGCAGCACTCAACAAAGTAAGTTACCCTTATAGCAAAAGAGAAGAGAGTTCCCGCCTTGCTGTCTTTCCCAACGGTAATGTATGCGCACATACATACAAACAAGTACAGTACGGTACGGTAGGCGATACTGTACCGTGATATCACGGTACTGTAGGCAGCTGCCTAGGCGGGGCGGGCATGACATCCAGTCAAACAAGATGTCATGTCATGCCGGGCGGTGCTCAAGTCCCGCCTTGGCCATTTGGGGATTTGCGATGCGTGCCGACGGGGAGATAGTATTCGCCATATTGTGCAATAATGTGGCCGGGTATCTACCCTACCAGCTTCACGGGTGGAGATATGTTTGCTCGGCAGGCTGGACAGAATTCTCTCGGGATTTGGCTCCACATCGGGACCTAGAGTGGCCAGGACGACTCATGCCGTGAGTTATCATCATCAGAGGTACAGTATGATAGAGATTGCAGCCCCAATGCTCAAGTTTCCCGATACGACACAATATTATGAGAGACGAGTCACTTCAGGGCAACCGCACCATATCAATACCGGGACATCATCAGATCGTGATGGATTTGAGTGATAATCCATGAACAACCACTTCCAATCATGCTCTCCTCAGCTTATCGAGGATTACCATCCTCAACGTGCCCAAATAAGAGCTTCCTATGCCCCGGCCCCCGCCCCCTTGCCCAACCTGGCATCCCATCACGATACGGTATCATACTCCAGCATGATATCCCCGAAAATGACAAAAATACCCAAAGCCTATTCGAAAAGCGCATGCGTTTCCTACAGAGAATCCCCACAACGGTATTTTCCATTTTTTTCCTTTTTCCTTTTTGATACGGTTCAGTAGATCACAGTTCCTGCGGGATCTCATATAACATAACGACGGATAGGAAGTGCTCGAAACGAGGTGGGCCAAAGCACAAATTCCTTCCAGTTGTGTGCACCCCCGCTGGCGATCTCTCAAAAGTTATCGGGAGAGTCTGGCGAATGGATTAGCAACACAACAGCGATGATAAACTGTATTTCCCACATTCCCACCCGTCCAGCACGGAAAAGAAGAAAAAAAAAGCGTTGAAACCTCCAACAAAATTCCTCAAGCATCCATAATATATTACTCCTCCTCGAACTTTCTCCGAGCCGCCTCATTGATCTCCCCCCCCCTCCCCCCTCTCCACGTATTTTGACGGGACCGATAAACGCCAAGCCGAGCGGAAATTTCAAGACTCTCGGCGAGGGAGAGACAACTCCTACGTAGGTGCCGAGAGAGGGACGCTGTTCCTCGATGATTGGTACGACAGCAGCTGCACCAGCGCGGCCGAGTTGACGCTGGCCACTTTCTTTGTACGGTACTCGTACTGTATGGGAATTGCCACGATAGGTGCCAAACCTCGACCCGGCCGCGCGAGTGCAGAGGGGGGTCCATACGAGTACTGTATAAATGCAGATCAGAGGCCCATTCGCTACGTCGCGAGAGTTGTCAACGCGGTTGGCCGTAAGCGCACGGAACCCATAGGCCACATACGTGTCCCACAATAACTCTTGGAAATGGCGAGCACTGTACGAGCACAAGTGCACAGACATCGCGAATACCGGTATGGCCCTCACGTCGGGGGGATCAAACTTTTGCAACAATTTCTGCTATTGTGGATTGGAAAATTCCGCTCCGGATTAATAGCAGCCTCCATGCCGAAATGGCCAAGACTCTTTTTCTTCCCTCTCGGCCTTGCCAGGAAAAGCACTTTTTAGATACAGTACCGGTGGCCGTACTGTGCGAGTACTGGCTGCCGGCACCCGAGTACTGTCCTGTACCTCACAGCAGAAGTAGACTACCGCACCACCGAAAGCACGAGGGAGTGTGATATGTACCCCTTATGAAAAATGACCCTGTAACTAAATCATCAAGACGAGGCTATCATCCTCACTTGATTGTCACGTACTGTACAGATATTGTGCCAAGACCTGCCATATGTGACGCTATTCGCAGCTCATTCTCCTTGGACCTGCAAAGTTGTCTTGTAAAAGAAGAGTTCATATCCTGATTTTGGGATACGGGTTCTCAAGATAGAGATTCTCAGGGCAAGGAGAATATCCTGCCACACACTCAGCTTCTAGGATACAGAGGCTGTTAAGAAACAGTAAATTCTATAGGGTGTCTCCCCTACCGGTAGCAGATGGAGTACCGCCAAATCATCAGTTGATCAGGAGCAATCATTTCAGAAATGCCCTTTCCCATAAATAACATATTTGAGTCTCAGTAAAATTTCACCTACTTCATCCCTTGCCTCCCCCCCCCACTATTGTGGAGTACGGTAGTTTACAGCTCGATTCTATGTAAAAACTGGATTTTTGGTGGCTGTTAAACCAACTTCCCCGTCGTGCACAGTTTCTACAGGCATCTACCGGTAGTAGTCCCCCCCATCCTTCAAGCCCCCCCAAACAGCGCAGCTAAACGGGTTGAAAAATATGGAAAAACATAGAAAAAGCCAGCAAAAAACACACAAAGTGCGCGATATCCCCGTAGATCTCTTCCGCAACCTCTGGAGACAAACCGAGGCTTCAAGGTGGGTTCAGTGATCTTTCATAAATTGCTTAAGTTACGGCAGAGGACCACCAAAAACACACTGCACTTAAGCGAGAGAAGACAAACACGCAGGCAGGTTTTCTGACACTTACCACACTTCCCTTTCCGGTCCGCTTCTGGGACGTTCCACCGCTGCTCCGCCTGGTGCCGAAGGTGGGGTGGCTCTTTCGGAGGTCTCGCTGCCAAGGAAATGTTACAGCACCAGTGCTTTACCGGTATTTCAAAGAGTTAATTCCCCTCCCAGTCACCCGGTTAATATATTCAAAACCTTCATAAAACTCGCATAATACTGGCACGCCCGAGCACAGTACCCACTCCTCAAGTTCAGCTCTTCAATGGGCATTATGCCTCTCCCTCACCCACTTCACTCGTACACACCGCAATCTTAGAACCGTCTGGCAGGCACAGAGGGTACCATAATAGGCAAGCGCAAAATATGCCAGACCGCAGTAACCACATTTTCCCAAAGGGACAAAGCCTCAACCCCATCCGGTCTTTTAAGGCAAGGCGCCCGGTCTTTTCCAGACAGGGATCCTGCAAACACACAGGCCCACACATCGCTCACGCACCATGCCTCAATTGGGAAGCAAACAAAAAAAAAAAAAAACAGAACGAATCCAAGCCCGTAACGGTGCGGTACAGCCATGAGATTCTCTGATCTTCATTTCCCCTGCCACCTTCGCGACCAATTTTTTCTTTCCCCCGCGCGGGCGCACCTGTTGATCTATGCATTGTGGATGAAAGGACCCTCAATGCGACAATGAACACAGCAAAATGCAGAGAAGATACACTACGGTAAAACCGTTGGGGTATGCGCAACGGGGAGCCCTTTCTTCATGCGCATTGCACGAACAACCCACTCACGAAAAGGGAAGAGAAAAAGAAAACAAGATAATGTCACCGCAGCAGTAGCAGTGGGGTGGGGTAGAGCACACAGCTGGCCCAGGCTCTCGGTCACCCATCGAATGGAGTCAATATTCGAGTGACGTTCCGTGAAGGTATGTGATGTGAGTGACGTCTCATGACGGATTCGACAAAAATAGAACCATTGTTGGGGACAATTAACCGACCGGTAGCGGCTCACTTGGGAACCCCGTTAGACTACCGTAGTGCCCATTTGTTTCTCTCTTCCTCTCCTCCTCTCGTGGTTCTTTCCTATCGTGGACTGTGATGACGGATAGTCACGCTAGAGTATCTCTTTGGTGGATTTGTTGCCCCGGGAGGGACCCCACCCCAGTCACTGATGAGCTGGGGCTGAACCGTATCATACTCCAGCGCCGCGGACTGCTTGGCTATGCCTTGGTGAGCGCGGCGGGAACCAGATTCGGTGCTCACCGGTTCTTGAATTGGGAACCTGGTTCCCGAGTGAGATAACGTGAGTTTTTAATTCGATTTATCTTTCAACTTTTTTTTTCCCCCCCCTCAGCCCCTTCTCACGTGGATCTATCTATCAGGCACATTGAAGTGGGATACCGAGCTTGAAATAGTGCAGCGAGACGGGCAGATTACTTGCACGATGGCTTGATCCGGGAACAAGATTTCTACTTTGGCAGTACTTGGTTGGCGGGGCCATCGTTGCTCTGCCGTGCTGTACCGGGAGGGTCGTGATGGCCACAAGTGGTAAGCGACATGCGAAAATAGATCGCTGGGATATTCCTCCTACCGGTGCAGCCCTAAGACCTATCAGGGCTTAACATAGGCCTAAGGCCATCAGTAGGGTAACCTCCGTGTTCACGCGGGTCTGCACACTGGTCTGCCAGGTGCGCATCATACATATTCTTTCACACACACACGCAAAGGAGACGAGAGAAAATGACTTGATCGAAGTGGGGATGAAGGGGGCTACTGTAGAAAGGTGGGAAGGGATCTGTCCGTCACTCCACTATCGCTCCACTGGGATTTTTGATTCCTTCTCGCTACTTGCACAGTAATATTCTTATGGTGGGCAACCGTTGCAAGCTCCACAGTACTGTTTTCTTACCATCATGTTATCATAGGCCCATTTTTTTTTACTGCCGCGACTTGTACCTGCTTGTATTGCTCCATTTTATAGGAGGGTCCACGTGGCAGAAGTTTATGTTGAAAAGAAAAGAAAAGAAAAAAAAAAAGAGAACAAGAGCTCGGTTTCTTTTGGGGCTAGTGTTCTGAGTATTTCGGCTTTTGCAGGTTGAGTTCCTCACGGGTTTTCTCCGTCCTCCCTCCCTACACACCTTACGCCTCTCCCCAGTCAAGCTCTCCCTCCCTCCCTCTCTTCTCTCTCCCCTCTCTCTCTCTCTCAAACTTACCTTCCCTCGTTTCCTCCCCTACTCCCCCGCCATCCATCTCGCTCCACATCATTCTTCTCTCCTCTCATATTATTACCGTACCATTTTTTCCTCCCCCACTATTATTATTACTACCGTTATTGCTATTTCGTTCTGCCCACTTTCTTACCCTCAGAATCGATTTTCGCCGCTTGGCTTTGTGTTCGATACCGTTGCACCGTACCGAGTAGTCAGCAGAACGGACTCCGCCCCGCCACCCGCTTAAAACTAGCTTTCAGTCTTACTTGCTTGCACAACACATCACGGCACCCAACCTACCCTACCCTTTCCCTTTCCCACAGTATTCCCTGCCCACCCTTTCCCCATCCCTCCTCCTTCCACTCTTCCCTCCCGTTCCTTCCTTCCTTCCTCCTTCCTCCATCCTGAGCACAAGCACACATTACATTACATACACGAGCGACATCATACACCGTACTCAGGCACACCATTTGGAACTGGAGTACTTATCCATCCATCCATACATCTATTCCTCACATCCGCCGTTAACTCTTTCAACCGCGACCCGAAGTTTCCGATCATCCATTCACCACACCTACCTCTCCACGCCAACCCATACCACAACCAACCGAATAACCACACTACACCCTTATTTTCCCAGAACCTTTTACCAACCAAATTTTGTCTCCTGTTAACCGCCAACCCCACAACCAATACAATGGGCCTCCGACTCCGCCAGAAGAGCCCTTCCCCATCCCGATCACCACGACAACAGGAACAGCAGCAGCATCGACAGCAGCACCCGTCTCCTCCACCCACACCACAACCCCGAAAATCACTGAGGAAGGCACGGAAAAATACTCACCGGTCAAGATCACGGTCGCCGTCTGGGCTTAATACAGCCATTGTGCTGCCTAGTAACATAATTCCTTATGGTGTATTGTTTCAGGACGATGAGCCCGAAGACGAGGGCTACTCGAGTCCCCCTTCAACGCCCACTGATCCTCCTCCATACATGAATGTAGATGGATGGCGGATGGTACCTGAAAGGGGCTTAGCAATGGAGCTCATGTTTGGTAACATGGATGCGGATTTGATCGACGAAATAACTGGTGCATCCTCAAGCGACGAAATGGACATTGACGAGCCCCCAACACCGTCAAGTACACGCATACCACACACACATCTGGATTCGAGTCCAAGCTCAGGGCCATCGTCGAGCAGTATGGACTCTCGCGATCGAAGGTATTCCGGAAACGGCTTTGGTGGAAGAGTGGTGGATGAGAATTATGATTAGTTCTTGAGCCGAAACATTACTCTATTCTAGCGTGGATCTAGTTTATTACCCTACTTTTGGCTTTACTCTTCGGTCGGTCTCGATACCATCATACCTGCGGACAAAGATTGCGCGGTACATCACTTTAGGGCGATAGCGGTTCTCGTATGCGATGGGGCGGTTCTTTTCGCTTTTTCTTCAAACCATTTTTTACCACCACTTTATTTGCTTTTGCCGGCTACCTAGGTGGGGGGGGGAACATCTCGGTAAAGGTGGAGCTCCCCTTAAACATTTTTGTTCTTCTCTTCCCAAAAAGATTTGCAAACCTTTAGGGGATTCTGTTAATTGAGAACGAGAGAGAAATCAATGAGGAAAAAGAGTGAATCAAACAGAAAAGGCCGAAGGAAAAAACGGGTTTCACAAAAACATCAGCTTTACCTTGTTCGATCCGTAAGGTAACCCTTTTTTCCTCCCTCCTTTTCTGCACCCTCCTCTTTGATACAAAAATCATAGCAAAGCAATTCTTGTACTTTTTTATTATTATTATTTTTTATTCTCTTCAGAGTATATAGTTTACCTGCCTTTTTTACTTTTTCCTACGTTTGTTCTGCTTTTCTTGCTTCTCCCCTTGTTCTGCATATGTACCATCGCACCCTCAGTTCACTTCTGTTCATCATGTTCGGTTCCAGGTCGGGTCGGTCGGGTTAGGTCATAGCGAATCTTGTCATTATCCATTCCACCTTCTTCCCCTCTTGCTTCTATTTTGCATTTCCTTTTCTTCTCTCTGTCGACCTGTTTTGCTCTCAAAAAAAGCTTTCTCATCCTCACTGGGAGTACTTGGGTTGGTGAGGCGTTCTTGTCTTCTTTTCCTCCTTCTTCGCCACTTCTCTTGCGCCTACCTACCTACTTAGTTGGCTACTTCTTGTTCTATAAACGCTTCTTCCTTCTTTCATACTTGGGTGTTTGTTTTTCCTCTTTTGTTCTTGGAACAAGCGTTGAAACGAATCTCCGTCATACCTCTCTGGCCGTCCTCATTCTGGGCTCGGTCGGGGGGGGAGAGGAAATTAATAGATGTATGTGTGTACGTACTTTATCAGAATTGTCAGCCCTTTAGGTTATTTTCTGTAAGAGAAAATTTATTGCACTTGGGGACTATTATTCTCGCCAAGGCGAACGTGAAAGGGATTAGGGTGGAGTGGCCTGACGCGAAACACAGCACGGTACTGTGGTTACTTTTTCCCGGCTACCAAGCTGGTGCGACGGTCCCGCCCGAAGGTTATGCGTTCTACCGGTACTCTAGTCTAGAGTTTATGACGTGATATTACTTGCTTCGTGATATGAGGAACGGATGGGTGGGGAGGGGCAGATTGGTAGGTAGGTATCATAGGTACTCGTAGCAGGCAGACAGGCAGGTCGGTTGCCCGACTGAGATGGGGAGGGATACTGTACGAGTACTGTGGGTGGGATTCGGGTGACAGGTTGGTGTGTGTGTGTGAAAGGTGCAATTTTTCATGGCTATGGCTTGGGGATGATTGTGGTGGGGGGGGATGATCGGATTGGTAAGCTGGTCATGGATTATCACTCGTACTCGAGCTCTCTGGGAATACTGTGGCATGACGATACCGGCAGGGTATGTATCATACGGTACGGTACTCCAACAGTAAGTGACTGGTTTTGTTTGAGTCACCGATAAACACGCGCTCCCGGCACCGGAAAGTTCTAGGCCTCCCGTTCCCCCCCCCCCCCTTTGCTTTCGCTTTCGGGTTCGGTTGTGGGAAGCGGTACGAGTATCATACAAGTACAGTAGGGCACGTAGACCACGAGTCCTTCCTGTATACGGTAGTTACGCTATCATACAACGGAATAGAATAGAACAGAACAGAATAGAGTAAGATAATTACCGAGGTGTTTAGTGAGTCAAGGCAATCTAACGGTATTTTTTCGTCACTGTATTGTGCTATTCGTATCGTAGTTTCGATCTGTTTGATGGGGTACCATAATACCGTATCCGTTGCCCTGAAAACTTTTTTTTTTCTTTCTTTCTGTGTTTGGAGGGGGGTTTGTGCTCTTGTGAGTGGAGTGGGTGAATCATTCGGAATTAGGGCTTGGCAGGTACTTTTGTGGCTGTGTGTGGCTGTGCGCTGGTCGTTTCTGATTTTTTTTTTTGATTTTTGATTTGTTTTGTTGCTTGTATGGTACTTTGTATTTGTAGTATCATATGATGTAGTATGATATCGTATCGTATCGTCCAAGCCTTGGTCATGCTATTTCACAACTTTCTCCCACTATCGAAGGAACAAGAAGAAGAAATTATAAAGTATGATGGGGAAAAAAAAAAAGAGTCCAGACCAGAAACTTCCACCATCTATTTACTCTACTCTACTCTACGGTACTCTATTACAGTATGGTATCACAAAACACTATCCACACTTCTCAGGCCCTCCCCATTCACGGTACCGTACGCTGTCAAGTCAAGTTCAAGTTACATCACAATAATATAATACACGCGTACCTGCCTACGATACCTGCCCTGCCCTGCCCTGCCCTGCCTGCTCCTGCTTTACTTTGCTTTACTTGCCCTGCACTCCCAAATCTCCCCGAAGGAGGGAGGGAGGGAGGATGAAAAGAAAAAGAAAAAAAAAATAAGGCTAGAAGTGCCCCTTCCGGGTATCCGTCCTTCCATACTATCACATCATACGGTGATATTCCTACGCTAGCGTGCGCGTAGAGTGCTTGGAGAGCTAGGCTTTTGTGGGTGGGTGGTGGTACGGTGCCGGATAGTATCGTGACTAACGGACGTGCAGCGGTGTGTACTCGTAGGGGGCAGGTAAGGCTACGGCTTTGTCTTGTCTTGTCCGTTCTTGTGGGAATGGGCCTTGGAAGTGAGGGTGGTGTGCACTTTTGGAAGGCTGGGTGGATTGTACCTGTGCTATGCTGTGATGTGAGGTGCCTTGGTGGGGGGATTGGGATTTATGATACCGTACTTGTTATACTGGTTTACTTACTTACTTGGTAGGACTGTACCGTGCTGTGTCGTGTCGTGTTGGGAGGTTGAATGGTACAGTAAGGCGGTGGGTTTTGTTTTGTTTCGTGTTTTTCGGGGAGGAAGGGTGGAAGGGGTGTCGTACTGTACTGTACTCGTACTAGTATTATAATATGCCCAGCGTTGGTGGCATGGCATGGCATGGCAGCTTTACCGTACTGTATTGTACGAGTACAGTACCGGTACTGCACTGTACCTACAGTTACTAATTACCGTACCCTCCTATTCCACCGCCCGTACCTTTCCTTTCCTTTCCCATCCAGAAAGGCACGAGTAAAAGCTTCGATACGGCACCCAGAATTAGGGTAAAATATCCACCTCCGACGCATCAACCAAAAGTGTACCGTATCGCTACTTGCACTGGACCGTACCGTGTCCACAATACCGATTCCCAGCCGGCTACTCGCGTCCGCCCATCCCGTTCCGCAAAAGAATCGAACGGTTCGGCTCAGCTCGTCAGCCAGCCACAACCATCCCATCCAGCCATCCCATAAGGCTGAGACACGCATATGGTACGCCGCAGGAGTGTTGAAACGAAAGAGACAGGCAAAAAGATCGTGACGGTATTATTTATCGGTGCTACACGGGAAAGAGGAGGAAGGGAGTAAAACTTTAAAGAGTGCAGTTTTTCTCGTCACCTTGGAGGAGGACGGGTGGGCGGGAGTGGATGGGGATCGTGTCGTGTTTTTTTTTTTTTTTTCACCTTCCCTTTCGTGTGCTGTAGGGTACTTTGTGCAACACTTTTTGTGTGGGTGTGATTTTTTTTTTTTTTCCTCGGAGGTGGATGGGGTGGTGTGGGTGGGTGGGTGGGTGAGTGAGTGAGGCAGGTGGGAAGGAAGGAAGGAAGGAAGGAGGAGGACGTGATAATGGTATGATATGATACAAGTGCTCTGATCTGCTCTGCTATGGTAACGTGGACTGTGCTATGCTATCGATTTCGATACTGTACTGTACCGGTGCGATATGGCGACTGCCGATAAGGTGCCAACCATCATATCGGTATATTAATTATGCTGAACTTTACTCGAGTACTTGGTGCTTGTAGAGTACTTTTGCAGTGTCTATTATGGTATGGACGGTCATCTTTCGTTCGTTCGTTCGTTCGTTCCTTCCTTCCTTCACTCACCCACGATTGCTTGCTTGTTTGCTTTCCTGCTTTCTTTCTTGATTTCTTGATTTCTTGCGTGCTCGGCGCGGAAAACTGTGGATGGGGTAAGAACGAAAGAAAGAAAGAACTGTAGGTGCACCGTTCCGGTGCTGTAAGGCTCCCCACCCACCCTACTATGATTAACTTACCGTCGGAAAAATAATCTCCTCTCCCCATCCAATGATGCCGTACTTTCCTCGCGAGCGCGTGCCCGTCCCGAACTGCCAGTACTGTACCGTACCGGTCCTGCACCGCACTTTGTGCATTCCATTCCATCCACGGGCTAGAAAACGGGGATCACGGGGATGTGGGGTATAATGGCTTAATTTAGGCATCCGGCATCGGCACGCTCTCTCTCTCGATACCACCGCACGGTAATTCTGCGTCTTGGAAGAGCTTTGTGCTTTCTCTGGCTGGCTACTTTGGTTCCGGGAATTATTCGTTGGTGGGCGAAGGTTGGGATTTAGTAGGGTTACCGTGCTGTTATCATTGGTTCCTAGGGTAAAGTTTGTGCGGTTTTTTTCTTTCCTCTATTATTATTATTTGGGTCGGGTGGGTTGGTGGGAGGGAGGTTTTTTCTTTTCTTTTCTTTTTCTTCTTCTCCGGGGATTGGGTGATTGATGGCCTGGCTGCTGTATGCATTTTTGTTCCTATTGGAGGTTGTTGGTAAATAAGGTACCGGTGATGCCAACTTGCCGGTACGGTAATGGAATGCTCCAGCTTGGAAGCGGCGTTGCGGTGTGATAATAATACTTACAAGTAGACTATGCTACAAATCCTGCACCAAATTACTCGTACCCTCCCTCTCTCTCCCGCCCCTTTAAGCGGTCTCACTTTCCCGGAAGGAATTACTCCACCCCTCCCCCTTGTACTGCATAGCACTGGTAAAGTACCTTCCCATTCTCATCGAACAGCACCGGTAGTCTACTGTACCATGCTCGAGTACAGTACTTGCAGCCCCATTCTGCGAGAACATATCACGCAATCAGTCCAAACCCCGATAATCCCCACCACCAACCGACCGTCCCGAACCCACGTCCGCCAACGGCCAAAGGAGCCCCTCGGATCTCCCCGTCGGGTTTAAAACTTTTAACTTTTTTTCCCTCCCCCCCCCTCTCGCCCTACCGTACGGGTACGGTACCTACGACCTCTACATCTCCATGGTATGGTTATGGTATACGGCGCGGTCGCGTTTCCAACACTGCGACATTCCCGTCCGGTTCGGAAGGTGATCCGCTGACCAAGGCGACGGGAGCCAATCGAACCCGCCCGGCACGGTAGGTAGGTAGGAGAATTTTAATCGCTCTCCTCATTCTTTCTTTGACTTTCTCCTGCGGGTTGGAATTGTACTCGGAGTGGGGGATCTACGCGACTTGCAGCAGTTGCGCAATGAAGGCGATGGCCTATGACTGGTGCTAGCTGTGAAGAGATTTTTCTTTTGAGCGCTTTTGGATGATGCATGCCTTGTACTGTTACTGTACTGTACTGTACCCCGCGATTTTGTGCTCGTACTCGAGTAGGGTATCATACCGGTGGTGTGCTATGGTTGCGATATCGGGGAAGGGGTGGATCGGAGATTGGCTGGCGGTGGCGTTACCCGCCGCTCGTGCTCGCATTGCGTTACTAACTTGCCGATAGCTTTCGGACTGAAATTGTCTTGCGGGAAAAGAAAGTCGGCGGCTTCCATTCCATGTCCTTTGGAAAAGGTTTGGAATTTGGCTGGTTGGCTTTCGGTGACCCTTGTTTGACTTGTGACTTGCTCGCTGGTGGGAGAGGTCAATGGTGCTCACGCTTAGCGGTACGAGTGTGATTTTCTCCCCCTTCTTGCTTTGCTGTGCTCTTTATTTGCATGTGACGGTGACCTTTTCATTTATTCGTTTCCTGCGGGGGGTTAGGTATTATCGTACTTGTATTATCCCACAATACCGTACAGGTACCTGGTATTATATCAACTGCGGTACGAGCACTCGAGTACAGTACTCGAACGTTTGAGCTTGAATTCAGTGGGGGCGCCCGGGTGATTTTGCCAAGGGTGCGGATTTCCAGATCCCTTTGTATGATGTTCCCTGCACCTGTAAAGTACGGTACCGGCACTGCTCTTTTGGAACTCTCCTTCTCCCCTGCTGTTTGATGCGCACTTCACCATAAAATCCCGTGAGAAAAAATCAACCGTCTCCGCTGGCCCTGTAATCTCCTGATTCGGCGATAGGAAAGCTCCACCGAAGGATTAGTGTTTTTTCCTTTCCCCTGACTTGATGGGAATAACTCTAGGGACTTTGTTGTCGGATCTTGTGAACTCGTGGCGGTTCGCAATTTCTGTCGACCTGTCCAGCTAAAGATGAACTGAACCTATTATTCCCACTTGTGGTACGATATAATACTGTAGCAGCTAGTATGATACATTACCGTACCGGTATCGTACCCGTGTACCGTAGAAGGGGTGATCGGATCGCCCTCTCACCCCCAACTAACCTTTCTCCACCATACAGTACTCGTGCAGTACCCGAGTAGCCAGAATCTTGACACCCCTTCCACTAGTATGATACTCGTGTAACTGCAGCAGTTTAACTACCACAGCGAACCACCTCCTTAGTCTAGTCTAGTCTAGTCTACTGTACTTGTAACCACGGTGCCCTATCATACAGTACTGTACCAACAAGCCAACAAAACCCAAACTATTATCCCACAGACCCACCGTAACATTTTTAATCATTTCTTCCCTTCCCCCCTTCCCTCCTTCCTTCCGTCCTTCACCCCTCTCTCTACACTCGAGTACGGTACAGGGACAGTCACAGATATTTGTACCATACCCACAAACCACTGTATTATAAACAGTTCACAATGTCTTGTACTATATATATATAGATGTACGAGTACTGCCTTAGCAAATCCCAAGATCTAGATTGTGACTGCACGTGGCTACTTAGAGTTCTTACGCATCCCCCCTTACAGTACCTTACCTTACCAGTACCATAACCAGGTACGGTACGATAATCTTAACTCGGAAAGAACCAACAGGTGGATGACTACCGTACCGTACCGGAACCAACCAACCAGCCACCGTCTACCCCTTGAGCCTTTTTATTTTTTTATACATTTCCTACTACTGTACTCGTAGGGTTCCTTCCTTTCCGTGCTAGCACGTTTGTGATACAAAGGGATGCCCGTATTGTAAGGGGGAATAGTAAGAGTATAGATATCGCAACTTTATTTTTTCCTTCTTGTTAAATTCAGGACCATTTCGTCTGGGGGGGTTAGGGGGTGTTGTTCGCTACTGGAGTACCGTACCGTGGTGTTTTTTCTTTCTTTCTTTCTTTCTTTCTTTCCCCTTTTCTTCAGGGTTTTGGGCATGTGAGTGAATTATGTGCTTGAGGGGGGTTTGTTGTGAGCCCCGTATTGTACTTGTACCGTAGCTTACTTGTGGGTTCTTGAGGCTTGAGGAGTCTTCTGCACGGCACGTATTGTACTGTACGAGTACCGTACCGTACCTGGATCTGGATCTGGATCTGGGGCTGTTTGAAAAAAAAAAATGAAAAAAAGGTTTCTGGGGATGGTATGATATGGTGATGGTGCACGAGTTCGGTACGGTATGGTGTCGACGCTCTTGCTTGGTGAAAAGATTGGTGATGGGGTTGGTGTGTGCGCAGCCGTCATGAGTGCGCTGAGCACGCCTGAGGGAAAAAGCAAGCGCTGGGGCAATACAATACCGTATGGTATGATACCCTTTTCCTTCTGAGGGGGCTTCTCTCTATTTCTCCCCATTCCCTTTCTCTTCAACTTACCCGGTTAGGCAGGCAGGCGGGTATCTGAGCGTTGTAAATAACCTTAACCTTAGCATCGTTGGATATCGCCCTACCGTACTAGTACTATATTATACTCGCTACCCGTTCCAGCACGAGAAAAGCTCAACTGTAGCTAGCACCGTCGTCATCCCATCTGGAAGTAATAATAATAATTAGTTTCGGGATCCGTCTCCATCTAAAAAAGGAGAGTTCCCCCTCAGTGTTGGGCGAATTGGGCGGGTACGAGTGATACCTCCCCAACCAGAGTTGCTCGCCAAGGCCCGCTAAGAACCAACCCTTGCTGCCTGGGGGATTCGATTGGACGAGATCTTTCCAAAACGTGCACCTGCATAACCGAGCCGGAAGGTTACCGCTTCGGGACTAAGCGCCGGGGGCTCAAACTGGAAGCGTTAGAGGCTATTTTGAGGAAGAGAGAGAGGAAAGCTGCACTGTATGGCAGTGACGGAGTTTCAAACATCTCTAATATTTTTTTTTTTTCCTGTCCCGCTCCTCCCCTTGTGGCACAGCGCTGCCGCTCTCCCTCTCTCTCTCGGGGGGTGGCGGGAAGGGGAGAGAGGAGGAGGAGGAGGTATATAGAGTGGTAGTTAGAACAGCGTGAGAAAGTGTTTCCTTTCCTCTTTATCCTTCCTTTCCAATTTTTGGCAACATTGAATATTTCCTTTACCGCTTTTCTTGTTTCTTTGTTTCTTTCGTTTTTTTTCCTTATATTACCTTCACTTCTTGTTTGCAGTCTTGAAGACCTAGTTTTTGTTTGGATTTTGCTACTATCATTCTCTTTTTTTCCAGTTCAGCCTCAGAAGAGCCGGCTTTTATTATTCCTTCAACGACGATGTTTGGGAGACGGACGGGTTTTGTTGCTGCGGCGGCGGCGGCTCTGTTTTCGGGATCGGTGCTCGCGCAGATCCCCGACGCCTTTTCCGCGGGGTTCGATCCCAAATCTACTGAATTGAAGGTGACGTTTGGGACAAATGATTTGAAGGATGGGGATACTCTTACTCCCTCTGGTGAGTTGGACCTTTTCCCCTTTTGGATGTTGTGGGTGGTAGTCTGACAATGACTTGATAGAGGCTGCTACGCTGCCAAAGTTCGCATTGGGAGGATCCTCCGGTATCAGCCCGAAGACGAAATACATCGTTCTCATGATAGATCCCGATTCTCCAAGCCGTGATGACGCGGTCGCGCCACAGGTCCTGCACTACTTGAAGACCGACTTTGCCGTGTCAGAGTTCACGAATCTTGCATCCACGGCCCCTCCATCACTCAAGTATGTCGGTCCCGATGCCTCCTCCGGTACCGGCCCGCACAGATATATCTTCTTGCTGTATCTTCAGCCAGATGATTTCCCTGCGAAGGGTATTCCGGATGAGTCCAACAGGGCAGGATTCAATGTGTCGAGTTGGAGAGAAGTAAACAATCTCAAGAGGGCCGTTGCCGGTATCCATTTTGTTGCTACTCCACCAGCAGGGGGAGCAGCCCAGAGTTCTGCCGTTGAGACTAAGACTGGTGTCCCTCTCCCGCCAGCTAGCACTTACACTTCAAATGGTGCTGTGTATACTCAGACTCCCCCGTGCACCACAGCTCTCGGAACGACAAAGTCCGCGCAATCTGTGCCCATCCAAACAACAAGCTATGCGGGAACTTCCAAGCCCCAGCCACCACCGACATATACTTCCGCCCCCCCAGCTCAGACTTCCGTCCCCGTCGCTCCAAAGACCCACACCGTCACGGTCGGAGGCACCAACATCCTCAAGTACAACCCCGAGACCGTCATTGCCAATCCCGGAGACGTAGTCTTCTTCGACTTCCTCGAGAGGAACCACACAGTCACACAATCTACCTTTGACGATCCATGCGTCCCCAACCCCAGCGGCGTCAAGTCCGGTTTCAGGCCCAACCCGCAGAACATTCCCGGCAAGGAGATCTTCAACTTCACCGTCCCCGATGAGAAGCCAAAGTGGTTCTACTGCGCCCAGGGAACGCATTGCAAGAGCGGTATGGTCTTCGCCATCAACCCCGGTGCAAAGTTCCCGGAATTCGTCGCAAAAGCGAAGGGTGGTGCGAATGCTACTGCTACTGCTTCTGGCACTGGCACCGCTGTCCCTACGGGAACTATCCCGCTCCCCACAGGCAACACGTCTTCGCCTTCGGGATCCGCGGCTCCCATCTTCCAGGGCGCTGGCTCGAGAGTCACCTTCTCTGCTACCGCCCTTGCCGGAGCATTCCTTGCCGCGTGGTTGCTCGTATAGTCGGATGTGTTTTTGTTTTCTTGTTTTTTTCCCCTTTCATAGCGTTGAAGATGGCTCTGGAAAAGATTCATTTTTGTAGTTTTAATTCTGTATGATTACCCTTTCGATACGTTGTTTGCCATTATTTACCCCTTCCCCCTCCCTCCCTCCCCCCTCCACCCCTCACCCTTCACCCTTCTGTCTCTCTCTTGATCGGGATGAGTTTTTTTTTTTTTTTTGTTTAAGTTATTCATTTTTTTTTATATATATTGCTTGTTATGGAAATTGAATGGAATGGAATGGAACGGAGCGGAATTGTCTATTTGTATGAGTATTATTGTTGCTTCAGGGTCCTTGAGGATGACTCGCGGTACCGTACCGTATTCTTTCTTTCTGGTGACTGTGTAACTACCCCCTTGTTTCGCCTTTCCACCCACCCCTTACCCACAGAAGGGCTCTGCTCATGAAACGGGGCGTGCACGCGTGATACCGTTGGAACTCGAGACATCGGGCCCCAAGTGCTTATGATCCTATGGTATGGTATGGTATGACATGTCGTTGGAGTTGCCTACCTGGTAAGGATAAGCTTTGTGCTTCTCTTTTTTTTTTTTTCATCATGATATAAATTTATCTTGGAGGGGGTATGATACTGTACCGTTACCCCCCCCCCCCCTTTTTTTTTTTTTCTCTTTAGAGTACGGTTTGGAAGTTTCCGCCGTGTATCATGGGGCCGGCTGGTCATCCGAGTTTCCGTCTAGACTACGGTACTGGTAGTGGATTGGTCCCCCACCGCTTCTGTGACGGGCGGGCTGAATGGTGATGTGCAAGTACTGTACTGTACTCGTAGTTGCACAGTACTCGAAGGGTAAGGCGGGAAGTGATCGCTGTACGGTATCTGTATCATAGGTGTGCGGGAAAATGGGACTATCATAGAGAATGGTGATTGGCTATTGTTATGTCTTTTTTTCCCCTCTTGGTAATTAATAGTGAGTGATGTGGAGATTTTGATTATAAATTTAGTAATGGACTTTCTTTCTTTCTTTCTTGGGGCGGTTGGGTGGGGGTTTACTCTGCCGGTATACGAGTACATGGGGGTTTTTTTTTTGCGAATGTGCGTAATAATCGTGTTGCGCTTGGTGCGCCGGGTTGTAAGATAGTATACAATTTTTATGATGTTTGTGCGGGCTGTTATTAGTATTTTATCGTATCGTAGCGCTCTTTGCCATCCTGGGTCAGCTTACCTCGCGGTCTATCGGTCTGTCTATCTTTCCGTCTGTCACCCTTGCTTACGTTACCAGATTGGAGAGTGCAGTGGTAGAGCGGCGGATTCGGGCTTTGCTGAGGGAGGGACTCGAGATATGTAGCATACCTGGGGGACCTCACCCACCCGCCTCACCGGTATAAGCCATCCGGACAATCTGTTCTATCCGTGATGTCTACCGCACAGTGCGGGTTTCACTTCGAGAGAGAGTATGGTACATGGCATCACGTCACGAATGCAGCAGCATGGCGGGAGCAAGTGTCTCCGTACTTGGTAAAAACCGTTCAAAGCAAAGGGGATTTCTCACTACGGAACCTCCTTCTATAATGAATGTATGTAGGTTACAGTACTCACCCTTGGCCGTTCGGGGTCTTGGACGGGGGGTGACCGACCGATACTTTTTGCTTTCACCCTATCTCAGCGATTGTAAAGGCTACATATCACCATAAAAAAAAAAAAAAAAATCTTTCGGAATTCGCTGAATATCTTTATTACATTCACTGGCCTGATCCTTTGAACTGAGACGAAGGATTGAGTTAGTGCCTTCTGTACTGTGCTCGGTATGTATATCCTGAGCACTTTAACAGCGTTGGAATCTCGCTATCTGGATTTCGCGATTCTGGTCAGCTTGCGCGGCTGTTAACGGGTCGGTTGTCGTACCGGCGCTTCGGGTATGATAATTTATGATGTCGGCGCTGTGGGCTGTACGGTACAGCATCCATGTTCCAATTGCGTACTCAGAATTGGGTAATAATAGTCTATCCATGTTCTCATCGTGTATTCGGAATGTGGTGACTATAAAAAAAAGTTCTTGGAAACTGGTCAAGCTGGTATTTTAAAATAGGGAAAGGATGTCAGTAAGAGATTGATAGAAACGGGGATGGCAAATGTGAAAGGATGATGATAATAACTACCAAACATGGAGCGATTATAGGGGGAACTATATATATATGGGTGGGGAAATTGTAAGAGGAAAAAGTGAAAAGATGTAATTTGAGTTCAAGTTCAAAAGTGAGGGGGAGTATAATGATTGCTCTTTGTGGTAATATGATAATTAATCTTGCTGACAGGGAACAAAATTAATGATTTCTTTAAGGCCTGATAGTTCTTAACTCCCATTGAGGTTAAGTATTTAGGATTAATAGATATGCCTATCAGGTTAATTAGTGAAGTTGTCATAGTTGTACAATATCATGTAACATGGTCTTGGACATCATATATTAAAGAAGTAACAGGTATAAAGAATGTATTGTAGAATATCTTATAGTAACTACTACTTACTAGTATCATAGATGAAGGTGTGAGGAATGAACTAACTAGCTAGGTCTGTCTCCTGCGTAGTCTTCCATTAGTAAACCCTAACCATGGTGACTCATACCTATGAGTTGTGTATAATGTATAACTCACAACTATAAGTCATGTAAGATCTATTAGCTGACTCCTATGAGTTGCTGTGTAGCATACCTTTAATCAAATACAATCAATATATAAAGTTAGATGTACAACTCATGTTACCTGCATATCCTCTGTCTCTACTACATCTCCAGCGATTGAGAACTCAATACTATGAATTTCATTGTGAGATCATCACCACTCTCCTGCCTACTCCTGCCTTTAGCTTTGGCCTAGGGGAGTCTGGTTCCTCCTTCCTCTCATGCCCAAGATATTAACTTTGGTCTACCATTGCAGAGCCCTCTCTCTCCTTGGGAGTTGGTCCTTCAAAGGCCTTCTTTGGCTGTCAGGTGGTAGGATCTCTTCTACTACAGTGATGCTATCTTTTCCAGAACAAGGGACTATATGAGAGATGCAGAAAAATACCTGCTTCACTTAGGGGACTGATAGCATTTCTTACTCACTCTTTCTCCTCCCTCTACTTATGGTGGGGAGTCCTCTCCTCCTCCTGAGCTGGCCTCGCTTAGCCTTCTCATGGTTGGCAACTCTTTGACCACTATCATCAGATAGCTGGGACTACAGTTTGCAGTAGGAGAGAACACTCAATAGGCTATAGTCAATCTCCCCATTCTCTTATCTCTCTGAGAGGCTACCTGGTCAGATACGAATATGATTACTGATAGATGGTGCTTAAGGTCTTTGGGTCTACCTCTCCACTCTCCTCTCCCTAAGGTTGGATTGGCTGGTACCCTAGTACTACCTCTCTTCCTCTTCTTCTGGTTATTGTCTACAGCTGACTGGTCTTCTTCTTCCCTCCATGCCAGTGGTATTGCACTGTTTCCTTGAAGTGGGTTTGGAGGGGCCCCAATCTTAGTGTGCTTTAGGTGTTGCTTCTGGCTTGAACTAGTAGACCTGCCCCTTAGGGCCCTATGTGACTTGCTACTAACCTTTGTTTTATTTCTTGGAATTTCTCAGTAGGTTTTTCTGGCCCTTCTTGCTTTTTTCTTAGTTAGGATTTCTTTGTTCATCTTTTTAGCTGGACTTAGATTTCTTTGCTTTGAGGCAAGATGTGCGATTAGCTCCACACCTGAGGGGCTTGGGAGGTTGACTTTTTCCTGTAGTGAGAGGAGGAATATGGGTTTTTTGTTATCATAGCTAGTGCTTTATATATTTTTTGTACTCTAAATAAATAATCCATGAGTTAAAACAAAAAAAAAAAAACTACATGTTATCTGCATGAAACCAATAACTCATAATCTAAATCACATATAATATAATTAAAAGTAACTCATAATTGTGAGTTACTAACCAATCAACCAATTATATAAAAACTTATAATTCTTATATAAGTTAGGTATAAAACAACTTAACAGAAAATCTCAAACAATTTAACTTAACTTAATTCTTGCTTAGTTGTACTATTTACTGGCATGACAGAAGATACATTTTCTAAAATATTACCTTCTAGGACTGATATGATGTATTTATAAAAAGGTCAGATTTTTATATAGTAACAGATTTAGAATGATGTAACTGTATGGACCTACTACTTCTTTATCCAAGTGTAGTCAGATTGTTGGTCTGGTAAATTTGTACATAAACCATCAGCTTATCTAACAAGAAATGGCAGCTATTTTAAAGGTACTAATTTGGACCTGCTTGGATAATATTTAACTTTCTTGTTTTTATATCTTATGAATCTGAATCTACAATTTCTGCTTTAAAGAAAATATTTGGTCGACTCTGACTTGGAGTCATATTACTCTTATTATTATATATAGAAGCATAATTGGTATGGTATATAACTAAATGTATAAAATCATGTGTTCGACTCCATGTCCTGCTGGGGTTATTGTAATAATATGATATTATTGTATAGAATAATGAGGTATTTATATAGTCCCCTCTCTGGAAATGCAAGGTATATGACTAAGGAGTTTTTACTAAGTAATATAGAATAAGCTCCACTCTCTATAATAAGACTTAGTTAGATCAGATTAGTTAGTTTATTATAATACTATAACCTCTACAAGTCTATATACTATTACTTTTGAGAATATGAGAAGAAATGCATAGGTCCTTATTACTTATGAGAATAGGAGTCATTTGAAGACTTGTTTACAATTTGTTGATGATAATAAACAAACCCTTGATATATTGAATTAGTTATTTCTATTATATACTCTAAAGCTTTACACATAAAGATACATTGATAAGTCCTTTGACAGAGCTGATTACTTCACCTAGGATAAGAGAAGAATAGTTAGTACTTGGCATCAAAAGGAGTCTATGCTTCTAAGATGCTGAATTATTAGTATAGCAGGTATATAGTTAGCAAGGAATTGGATATAGCCTACAACTACTCAGTCGCAGAATA